TCATCTCCCTGCTGGTGTTGTCATTTTTGTTGGGCCTGGTCATTGGCAGAACAAAACTGGCGACGAGGATGGCCCTGTCTGAAATTCCCGGTTGGGAAGATCCCGTGTATAGTTCACTGGCCCTCGAATGGATTAAGTTTGGAGGACCATCTGAACAATGGGAGAAGCGGTTGGCAGAGGCCGAACCGCAGAATGTGCTGGGAAACATTCAGAAGTTCTCCGATAAAGCACAGGATGCAGTGACTGAGAGAGTTGAGGCTGTTCAGTCTGGAGAAGAGAAGGCTCCAAGGTGACCTTATTGTGGCCTTCCAGTATCTTAAGGGGGCCTACAGGAAAGCTGGGGAGGGACTTTTTAGGATATGGAGTAACGATAGGATATGGGGGAATGGGGCAAAGCTGGAAGTGGGCAGATTCAGGCTGGATGTGAGAGAGAATTTCATGAGAAGTTCTTCACCATGAGAGTGGTGAGACCCTGGAATGGATTGCCCAGGGAGGTGGGTGAGGCCCCATCCCTGGGGGTCTTTAAGGCCAGGCTGGAGGAGGCTCTGGGCAGCCTGATCTAGTGGGAGGTGTCCCTGCTCATGGCAGAGGGGTTGGAACTGGGGGATCCTTGTGGTCCCTTCCAACCCTGACAGATTTTGATCTGTTTTGGCAAAGGACTTAGTAGTGTTGGCTTAATGGTTGGACTTGATGATCTTGGAGGTCCCTTCCAACCTAAAGGATTCTATGATTCTGTGTAATATTTTGGATAGAAGTCATTAGTTTATCCTAAGTAACAAGATAATAATGTAAATAAGCGTGTTATATTTACGTGTTTCTGCTTTTGTACTTCTGGTGTGTTAAAAATAATGCCATCTACTAGAGCATAGTGATAAATAGGATTTCTATTGCTGAAGCCCCCAAAATTATTTTGGTTACTTGGTTTTGTTCATGTGAGGCTGATTACAATTTGAGATCACAACATGTCTCAAATATACAGCTTTATAAATTGTTCAGTCAGAATTTTGTAGTCAACTACAGGAAGGCAAATCAGCAATAAAGTGAAATCCTTTAACTATATTGTGATGTGTTTAGGGGTTTTGTGGTTGTACAGTGTTGAATGCAATAGAGTTTGCTTTGCCAAATAGAAATTAATTTCTGTTTGGGTTAGTAGGCAGCATAACTTACAGGGTGCAGGAACTGGGTGAAGAAGATCCTCTAGTTAAGAAGGATAGCAGTAATTCTTACTGCAGGGTGCAATTTTTCTCTTGGTAGACTTGACTAGCAAGGTTCTTTACCATGGGTTTGTTTAGTTTGTATGTTTGTAGTGAATAACTGAGTTTTTAAACTCTCCTGGCACAAAAGTGCAACGTCAGGAGTGTTGGAGTTTGGGTAACTCAAATGTGCTTTGTTGGACTAGGTGAAATTTGGCCGCCGATGGACAAAAATCGCCAAGCTGATTGGGAGTCGCACTGTTCTGCAAGTCAAGAGCTATGCCCGGCAGTATTTTAAGAACAAGGTAAACAGAGTGTCTCTGCAGTTAGCAGAAAGGCTCTTTGACAAGTATGCTGTTGTGCACGTAGCTTGAGTTTTAATCTGTCTTTTCAGGGTACTGCTGTTAAACTCCGTACTTCATTTTTTCCAATATTTAGAAAAGTGAAATATTTGCAGATATGAATATGGAGTCAGACCTGATTACAAATTCTTGGAATGACTTCAGTATTTTTATTGCTGATATAAGTAAACAATAAGTGTAGTATAACTGTAGTCTCACATACTGTTGGTTGTTACTCTGAAAGTACTTGTTTTCTACTGTGCAGCTGTTTAAGCTGTGTGTTATAGTTTTAGCTCAGCCTCATTTCAGGGGCATTAAGAATTTGCTACTGACCAGGATATTTTTTTTTTTTTTTTTAATGCAAATACGAGTTAATTTACACTTGGGCTAGGAGTATACCTGTCATGCTCTGTAAAAATCCATCACAATGGATTAAAATGTGTTAAAAGTGTCAGATGAGGAAGAAACACTTCAGAATGGCTGCTGGTCAAGTAGAAGAGTTCTGTCTGCTTGGGAGGCTGAGGAGATTGTTTCATTTTTCCCTTATAAAAGTATTTTATGTTTTCCTAAGGCAAAAAATGGTGATTCTGAAAAAGCAGAACAACATCATTGTGGGAGCAGTCTTCCCATTGAAGATGGGATAAAGTCAGAGGCGTGGTCGCTGGGAAACTTGAGAGGCCGTGCAGACCCCAACCTGAATGCAGTGAAAATTGAAAAGCTGTCTGATGATGAAGAAGTAGACATAACTGATGACGTGGATGACCTGCTTTCTCCTAGCTTCCTGCAAGAATCTGGAAAATCTGAATTATCTGTGGCTTCAGAAAGTTCTGTTGGAGAAACGAAAGGAACGGAACGTGTTATTTCATCTGTTGGACACAGTTCTACAGTTTCTTTACCTAAAGAAGATCCTCAGCATACCAAGGGAGATACAGTGGATACATTAGTATTTCCAGGTGTTGCAGCACCATGTTCTCAGCACCTGAACGGTGACAAATCCATGAACTTAGATTACCAGCAATACAATAATTTAATTGAGAAAGATGAAGAAGGCAGAGGAGCAACATCTCATGGCACAAGACAAGTACCTGATCAGGAGGTTAACGAGGAACAGCAAGGGCTGGCTGATAGTGGATTGCTTTTTCCTTCTCCCTGCCAAGCAGATGAAGAGCATCAAGAAGAAGCAGAGGAGCTCAAGCCACCTGATCAAGAAGTGGAGGTTGACAGAGGCATCATTCTGGAGGAAGAAAAGCAAGCTATTCCTGAATTTTTTGAAGGGCGCCAGGCTAAAACACCAGAGCGTTACTTGAAAATTAGGAATTATATTTTGGATCAATGGTAAGATGCATTCAATTAATTTACTGAAAGAAGTGATTAAGATGACTCATGCCCTGTTTGTTTCAGTTAAAACACTATTGAGTACCAATAGCTTACTTCTGAAAAGAGTAAAAGTAATTTTATAGTAGCGTTATAAAGATTGCCAGTGAACAGCACTGATTATTAATGCTGCGTTCACATGTTCCCTTTTTTTCTCAAGTCTTGGAAGCTAAGCAATGAAAATACTTTGAAGCATTATGAAAATGAGTGTCTTGTATCAGAACAAGCTTCATCCATTTTGGTTACATTATTTTCTTCTAATTTTTGTCATCCTAGATGTGAGAATGCATATATGGTTTTAATAAATGGTTCCTTGAAATAACTGATTAAATTCTGTAATGAGGTCTGTAGCATTGTAGGTACTGCCTTTACAGAAGGACAGCCACAAGAAACAGTCTGTAGCAGAGCAGATAATGCTGACCAAAAAAAATACTTCAAATTAAGAATCAGTTTGGAATAGAGTTTGCACACTTCAATATTTCATGTTCCATCTCCAAAGAATCGGTTTAAAGAACCTTGGTAATTTGTGGTAACAGGCTCAAAGCATAGTTTGTTCTGTTAACAGGTTTGGTTTGTAGGCTTATTGTGTTGGTTAGCTTGCTTTTAAGTGGAAAGAATTGCTGAGTTGAACCCTGTTCTCATTCTGTTGTTGTGTGTATCAGCAGCTTATTCTAGTTGCAAAGAAAGTCTTAAAATCCCATGTCAGGGAAGTGCTGAACGGAAACAATTCAGTATCAGTTTAGAAGCAAGAGTAAGTGCATGGAAAGTGAAAACGGGCTCCTTTATTACCTCTAGGAAGCCTGTGGTTATATGAGCTGTTTAGACTAATTGGAGACATTCATATAAAATTATTAAAGTTGGAAAAGGCCTCTGAGATCTTCAAGTCCAACCATCAACCCAACACTGCCACAACTACTAAACCATGTCCCGAAGTGCCACATCTACACATTTTTTAGACACCTCCAGGGATGGTGACTCCAGCACCTCCCTGGGCAGCCTGGGCCAAGGCCTTACCACTCTGCCAGGATAGAAATTCTTCCTCATATCCATCTAAACCTCCCCTGGTGCAACTGAAGCCCTTTTCCTCTCATCCTATTGCTAGTAACTTGGGAGAAGAGACCAACCCCCACCTCACTCCATCCTCCTTTCAGAGAGGTATAGAGAGCAGTATGGTCTCTCCTCAGCCTTTTCTTCCTGAGGCTAAACAAAGTATCTTAAACTAAACTTGTACTACGATACTGGTAAGCTAATTTGTCTGAGTAATTCACTGCTTCCAGGCACAAATGGTGTTGAAGAGTTTGTTTGAATGTGTGGAAGGTGTTTCACTCTGTGTAAGTATGAATGTGTTTGAACCTAAAATAAATTTTATGTGATTTGTGCTGCTTATATTTTTGCTGTGATTGCCCTGCGTGGTGGTGTGTGGATCACGGAGGGGGAAAACACTTCTCAAATTCAGCTTAAGTCACACAATTCCTTCTTCCCCCTGTGATTTGTTTTACCCTTTGAAAATGTGCTCTGTTTTAGGGAGAAATGTAAACCCAAGTACCTGAACAAGACTTCAGTGCGCCCAGGCCTGAGGAACTGCGGTGACGTTAACTGCATTGGACGGATCCACACCTACCTGGAATTAATAGGAGCAATTAACTTCGGCTGTGGTAAAGATAGTTTTATTGAAATCCATTCAAAACTTTAAATTCTAATAATTCTATTCGGGTCTTGCTCAACACATCTATTGGCTGTCAGCTTTTTTAATTAAAACAAATGTTTTAATGTGGAGGCTAAATATTAACGTTTGTAGATGTGCCTTTACAGGAAAATCATGAGTTCACTTTATTGCAGCGTGGATGATGGTGCTTAATTGCAGCCGTGCATCCATGTGGATAATCTCTCAACTTCTCTGTACTCTTAATCTCTCTTCAGTAGTAATTATTGTTACATTTCAGTTCTTTGGAAGAGAATCTCTGGACTGTTTAGTGTAGTTGTGTTCCAAACTTAACAGCTGCAGCTAGTTTTGCTACTCCTGTTGAAGGACTCCTTACTGTTGTAGCATGCTGCTCACACAGGAGGCCGCATGGTGATTCTTACTGAAGGACTTTCTGAGCAGATTGTCTCTCATGACCTTTGAAAATCTAGAGGAGTTTGTAAGCTGTTTACGAGATTATGGATTTTTTTGGGGGTTTTACAACAGACGTTTTCTTTCTTCTCTTTTTTTTTTTTTTTTTTTTTTTTTTTTAACCCGCTCACTTGTGTTTAATGCACACTGGCTGCTGGGGGGGGTGGTTTTGTTTTGTGCTTTTCTGCATGTCCAGTTTTCTTTTGGCTTTTTTTCCTGATACCTCCTGTATCTGAAACCCTGCCCTCCCTCTATGTAAGACAGAATTAAAGTTGTTTCTTTTCCCATACTGAATTATAACTGTTTCCTAAATAAAACCCAGTATCTTCATCTTTAGGGCAAATTACAAGATTCAAATGTTAAAATGAGGTGGCACGTTAAATGTATGTAAACACTTGTGTTCTTACAGATTCTGGATTGATTTTGGTACAAAGCTGAATGACAATGACCTACAGGAGGAGTGTCCTGCAAATATGTTTTGTCTGAAGTAAAGGTTATTAAAAATAAATTAACAATAAGGAAGGAGGTTTTCCTGTCTTGGGAACACTGTGGTAGTGGGAGAGGGCTGTACAATCGGGCAGAAATACGACCATCAAGAGACGTCTTTTCACCGTGGGTTTTATTATTGTTGCTTTTTTTCTTTATGGCGTTTGTTGTTACTGCTGACCCGTGTCACCTGGGGCTCTGTGCCAGTCCCGAGTGGCTTCCTGAGGGGGCGTGTCTCTTGTCCCCGCAGAGCAGGCTGTGTACCACCGCCCGCCGGCGGACAGGGCGCGGTGCAGGGAG